GTGTAGCTTTGCAGCTTTTTGGTTTTAATGTGCATGTGAATGGCCTAGAGAACCTATTTTTGTGTCCAAAGTTTACAATAAATGTATTTAACACCAGTAAAATTGTCTTCTGTTAAAACAAAGGAAAATTAATACTTGGGCTTTACCCCAAGGAATGGCTGTTATATTTCCTTTTTGATAACTTCAAGATAACTATCGGTAGAAACATACTTATTCTTACCACCTAGAATAGTGAAGTTGTTTTTCCCGCTCTTATTGCGAGTATACTGGGTTGACACTGGTTAACATTATACAGGTTTCAGGTGCACAATTCTACAACACGTCATCTATACACTTATACTACCCCCCAAGTTGAAGTTATTATTTTCAAAAATTTAGATGTTTTTTAATGAAAAGAATAGTCTATTTTGTTGTACTTACAATATGAGGCTACATAGTTATAAAGTTTTTTTAAACATCAATTTCAAATGGAAAAATACTCTCAATAGGACTGAAAACTGGTAAATAAATTCTGGAAGGACAAACAGCTGTTTAGTACTTTGACCTTAAATGCTTTGGTATAGAGTCTTGGGGAATTGGTCATGTTGAATCTAAGTAGCTGTTATTTGATCATTTAAAAAGTAGCAGTTTTATAGCTCATAAAAGAATGGAAATAAGGTATGACCTTATTCCCCATTCTGCTAGGAGACAGAAGAAAACTGGGTCTGGAGTCTTTCCTGACTCTAACCCTAAAAGTGCACTTCTGACATTGTAGGTTAAGGTACTCAGTAACATGTCACTGATATTAGAGGTGGAAAATAAAATGGTACAGAACTGAATGAGATTACAAGAAAGAAGGTGAAAAATGAGGGTGTGTAAATGCATGGAAATGTTCAACACCAATTTCTTCAAAGTGTTATTCCTTAAGCTTAGTCATGGGAATTATTTATATTTTAAATCTAATATACATTTTGACAAGTATATGGCAGAAGGAAACTTACTCCTTCAATACTTAGGGTTTTCAAGACTCAATTCTAAATGTTTAACTGCCCCCAACCACCACCACCAGAAAAAAAACAAAATCCAACAACTTGTGATTGGCCTGTGAGTGATAGATATATTAGACATTATATACAGTAGACTACCAAGTCAATAGTCTAAGTAACTGAGCCATTTCACTATTCAATTTCTTTACAGCATGAATACTTAATAACCTCACAAGTTTCGAGAAAATTTAGAATAACTACAGATGTATACAATTAGCATTTAACTGCCCACAAATATTTTGGAAATCCTATCATAGACAGTGTCTCCTCTCTATAAAAGTGGAATAAAACAAGAGTAAGTCCTTTTGGCAGATATAGCAAGGCAATGTTTAGTTCATTTTTAAAAGCCGAAATCTTGTTACATAGTTTTTTCATCTTTGAACTTCCAAAAGACTATAAAAGTGGCTCCTCTTAATATATTTTAGGATTTCATTTCAGCTATTTCCTCTTTATATTCAGAAGATTGGGTGCAGACACTTTCACTTTGCCAGGAATGTTTCTTGATAAATCCGTGTCCTAAAAAAAGAGAATTGCTGAATATTTTCACATTCTATATGGTCAACCATATTTCTTTTTATGACAGTTTATGTATCCTGTGCTATCAAAAGAAAGGCACTTCTACAATTTTTATGTGAAGTGATTCTTCTTATTTGATACTGCTTCTAGGAAGCATTTTCTACCAAGACAGTAGCTGCAACTTGCATCTACTAAATAAATCAAGAACAAAAAAACAGCAAGTAACTGCTGATATTTTCAGAATGTTCTGCCATCTTCAGAAAGTTCAGGAGGAATATCTTACCTTTACGCTGCGGAATAAGTCCTTTTCTCTTGCTGTTGCTTCTTTGGAATGCATGAAACTATGCAAGGCTGTTTTTGCAGCTGTAAATAGAAATTAGAAGAATCTAGTTCTGTTCAGTCAAGAAATGTTTAAAATGACAATTCAAAAAAATTTTTAAATACCTTTTCCCTTTTTTTGAATTCCAGGAGTAAGTTTCACTTTGTATCTTTAAAGAGGAATTGTATATGTTAGTAAACAGATATTACAAACAACTCATAAATCACTGTTGTGACAGTTGCTTTAGTTAAATGGTGATGACTTACTTATAGTTTGTCATGGTGGTATAAGGGGCACACATTGGAATGGCAAACAATAGTACATCTTCAGCATGTGGCTGTCCCGTCAAAGAGTCAAACAGGTTTTCCTAAAAAGGGAAAACAAACAATTATTAAAGTAATTCACATCACTTCTAAAAAAACAATTCTAAAACCTGTCAAAATAGTATCTCAATGTATTTTTATCCTTTTCTGACTGATAGTTGTAAGCTCTGCTTTATAGCTCTGAAGAGCTTAAGACCAATGGTGTTTAAATATATATTCTTGATTACTTATCATTTTTCCTAGCATCATGAGAAATAAGAAAATGATTTTCAAAATGGCACTCATAATCCATTTAAGAGAAAGGGAGAAAAAAACTTGCTGGGTGTTACTTGAGTTGTGGGAAACTACTATGGATTAAAAGGAAACATGACAATGACCACAAATAGATTTAAATCCATTGCATGGAAATGGGACTGATACTTTGGCTAGACCAGTGGCTCTCAACCAGGGGGTTTTGTCCCCAGAACACACTGGGCAATGTCTGGAGACATTTTTGGGGGTCACAAGTGGGGGAGAGGAGTGTGTGTTTGGGGGGGGGGTTGGGGGGGAGATAGAGCGCGACTGACATCTAGTGGGTAAAGACCAAGGATGGGACAGCTACCCACAACAAAGAATTATCCATCCCCAAATATTCATAGTGCTGAAGTGGAAAATTTCAGGGCTAGAATAGCCTTCTCTCTCACCTTTTCTTAAGGAGAACTCCTAGGGCTTAGAGTTTCCCATTTGGTGGCTGCCTATGAGATTGCCCATATTTTTTAACATGAGTAAATTTAGAGACAAGATGCTTGGTACTACGTGCCATGAGCTCTTCTAAATCTTTTACGTATGTTACCTTAGTTCTCAAAACAGTTCTCTCCTCTTAGGGACAGTTATCATCCCCATTCTTCAGATGACGGAACAGGCACAAGGAATGATGTTTCCAAGGTTGCAATTATATGCAGCAAAGTTGGGATTCAAACCCAGAGTGTCTGACTAGAGCCTTGTCTTAGCCTTTTCAGTTTTAATTAGTTGTGTCAAACATTCTGGGAGCTGAAGTGCAGTCAAAGTGTTGTGGTAGGGACCCCGACAAAAGCATACCTCGTTTCCCTGTTGATCCAGATCTTGCTCTTCCTGCTCCAAATATAAAATTTTAAAAGTCAGCTATAACTTAAATCAAAATTCCACACTATTAAAAACGAGGAGAAATAGTGATTTAACAAGACTGCCACATCTAATTTTTGTGTTCTTCCATGTCCCGACTCTGACTGAATTAATTTGTGTCTAATGATTCAAAAAGCAACGCCATTCAAAGAGAAAAAGGATTGTTCTCTGAGGTTTGAAAAAAGGACTTTCCCATAGAGCAGCGATTTTCAACCTTTTCCATCCCATGGCACACATAAAGTAATTACTAAGACTCTGCAGCACATCAAAAAATATACAGTGGGGCCTTGACTTACGAGTGTCTCGACTAATGAGTTTTTTGAGATACGAGCTGTCTGTCGCCAATTTTTTGCTTTGAGTTGATAGAGTAATTTGAGTTGCCACA